GCAAGTGATTCCTACATTAGCACCTTTCAATGAAATGGAAGAAAACTGCCAAAGAACGCACACACACACACACACACACACACGCACACACACACACACACACACGCACGCACACGCACACACACGCACGCACACACATACACACGCAACACGTATCAAGAGACAATAATTTGGATTTTTATTCTTTTGTCATATTTTATGACGATGACATTCATGTTTATGTTATTATGACGTTTTTATCAGGCATTTATGACTTTAATGCTGTTATTGCTTCCAAACAAACTTAACCTAACACACAAACACACATACGAACGCGCACATACATATATACACACATACATATAGATACACAAACACACACAAACACAACTGATTTCATCAAAAGAAACATAAAAATAAATACATGCCTATAACCCAAATTCAGAGATTTTATAAATATTACAAGCGCTTATTTTTTCAATATTATATGTCTTAGGCGTTTAATATGACTTTAATTTTTATTGTAAATGATTAAATATCTTCTATGTGTGTACAAGATTTATGGTTAATTAAATTGTATAAAAAAAATTCATGTTTCTTTGCTATCCAATCTTATATAGGAGGCAGTAATGATGAGAAACACATTGTGTGGCTATCCGACTTGGGTTCATTGAATTTTAGCAAAGTAAGTCTTTGAATTATCGTGTTATTTTTGCAGCAGTTTTTGTATTTGGTAGTGCTGATGTAGTTGGTGTAGATTGTTGGCAAGCTGATATCTTGACATTGGTGTGAATATCAATATATGCTGCCTATGAAACTTCTCCGTATTTTAATTTTAAATAATTTCCTTCATTTAATTCTAAATAAAGTTATTTTCCGTTATTTAATTTTAAATTGTTTTCTTCTAAATAAAGTTATTTTCCGTGCTTTTATTTCAAATAAAATTATTTTCCGCCATTTAATATTAGATAACTTTACTTCTCACATCAGATTTGTCAAATTCGGACCTGCAAAATAGTCCAAAAATGGCTGCGTCGAGGAATGACAACGAAGAACAGGAGGAGGAGGATGTGGCAGAGTTAACCTTCCCGAAAGAGTTTGAAAACGCAGAAACGCTCCTAACCTCTCAAGTGCACATGCTACCGCATAGCAGAAAATCGCAAAACAAAAACTCGGAGCACGAGTTGGATATCTCAAACAATTTTCTGAAGACCCTCGCCTACACGGAGAGGTTTTCTCTTTGTATGTCTCTTTGTATGTCTCTTTCTCACTTTGTCTCCGTTTTTCCATTTTTTTCTACATTTATTGATATTGATGTGACTCTGGCAAAATTCGCATTTCTCTTGTGAAATAAATACAAATAATTAATAATTAATAAATAATTTCTAAATAAAAGTATAATCTCGAATTATGCAAAACCAGAGAAATAAATATGCGTATATTAATAGACTTATGAATGTGTGTCTGTGCATATATACATAGTGTATGCGTTTATATCTGTGCGTGTGTGTATGTGTGTTTATATCTTTGTTTGTGTGTGTGTTTATATCTGTGTGTGTTTGTGTGTATATATTTGTGTGTGTGAGTGTTTGTGTGTGTGAGGGAGTGGAATGTGTTAAATATATTAGTTGAATATTCGATACACGTGTGTTTATGTCAAACATCATTTGATATATAGACAATATTTCATATCAATTTACATTTTGAACTTATTGAAACAGAATATCAATTGAATTGAAAGTGAGTAAGTAACTTGTGTAATAGGCGAAACAAATTGTGGAAAATATTTCTTCGCCATACGACTTAAAGTTTCAAATCACAAACACACATACACACACGCACACATGTGCATACTAATGCATATAAAAACACACACACATGCATGTTAACACATACAAACCCACATACTACACCCATCGTACATCCCTAACTTAGAAAAACTACATACCATGTATTGATATGTCATTCTGAAATTAAGAGAGGGGGGAGAAGAAGGAGAAGAAGAAAATAAAAAAAAAGACAAACAGAGAGAAAGAAAGAAAGGGAGAGAGAGAGATGGAGAGAGAGAAAGAAATAAAGAAAAATAAGCCAACAGACTATAGCAAATATAAAAATGAAATGTACTTATCAAGTGCCTTCATCAAATGTCATCAGCCAGATAAATGTTTATATGATTTTTTTAGAATAGAAAGAAAGTTGAAAAAAGAGAAAAAGAAAACGTTAAAAGAAAGAGAAAAACAAAGAGAGAGAGAGAGAAAGAAAGAAAGAGTGATTGTGATAGACGTATGACTGAATTGTTTATTTTTATGAAGAAGCATCAGTAGCGACTTGTTTCTCCATTGTACTGGAGTCGTCGTGTGGGAAAGATATTTCAAACAGTTTGGTTAGTGCAGTGTACCTTCTCATCATCAGTTTCATCGTCATCTTCATCATCGTCGTCACCATCATATTCTTCCTCATCGTCACCATCATCATCTTCTTCATCTTTCGTCTTCATCTTTGTCAGTATCGTCATCGTTATTTTTAACGTCATCATGGCCATAGGTATACACACACAAACAAACACACACACATACACAAGCACACAAACAAACACACATATACACAAGCACACACACATACACACATGCTGCTGCTGCTACTAAACTACTTTTATTCTCTCTTTCTCTCTCTAGACATATATATACACATAACCACACACAAATATACAATCAAACACCCAAAAAACATTTTTCATTCGTTTATTTATTTCATATAAGTAATGCATTCATTAAGGATATTTTTGCTTTGTTTTTAAATAGGTTGATACAACATGCAAAAAGCAAGAATTTTAAAAAATGATTTAGAAAGATACAGTAGAGAAAAGATACTAAATAATAAAATACAATACAATATACAATAAAAAACAAAATAATACCAACGGTGATCTGACATACAAATAAAAATTATACAAAAAACAATGCAAAACTAATACAAATCTAATACAAAAAATTCCCGACAATACAAAGATAATACAAATGGTATTAGTATGGCGCGGTACAAATGGTTGGAAAAATAAGAAATATTCCTTATAACAATGGTCTTACATGGAAACACTGAATTTGGGTACGTGTTTATTGATCGGTTTTTCCTAGATTTATAATTTAGAATAATTATAATATAATTATAATATATTAATAATATAACTGAAATAATAATATTATTTATGTTTAAAATTATGAATAATGTAGCTATAATAATTTTATTATAATTGTAAATTTGTACAAATCGAGATAAATTGGATGAAATATTTATGTAAATGTGCTAATGTTACTGCTTCTACTACTACTACACATCCATACCAATCATATACACAGATCCAAACATACATTCACATGTAGTGTACACGCATTAAAGACATTCGTACGCACAAACACACACATACTTAAAGCATACAAATAATATATACGAACATGCATACAAAAACATACAAAGACATAATGATACAAAAATAAAGTACCTACTACCAGCAACATATGCAAACATAAAGACAAATAAACATACAAACAACAAACCACACACGCAAACACACACATACAAACTTACACACATACAAACAGACACACACACACACACACACACACACACACACACACACACACACACACACACGTACTTCTTGTACTATATAATAACAACCGACATGCTCTTACAAAAAATTTTATTGTGTGCAAATTTTTTATGACAANCTGGGTAGGCAGT